CTTCTAAGTGTTGCTCCTATCACTGGGTCTAGAAATGGGCAAGTGGCTTGTGTGCTCTTCTTTAACTTCTAGACCTTTTCCATCCACCTTTACAAAACCTTGTTTTAAATTTCATGCCACAAGGTGTTTTTTTTGTAATTTGGTTGGTTTTTGTTGTTGTTTTATTTGTTTGTTTTGTTTTTTCTTCAAGACAGAGTTTCTCTAACAGCTCTGGTTATCCCAGAACTCACTCTGTAGATCAGGCTGGCCTCGAACTCAGAGACCCATCTGCGTCTGCCTCCTGAGTGCTGGGATTAAAGGTGTGCACCACCACCTCCCAGAGCCATAAGTTTTTATGTACCTTGTCCCATATCATTTTTGATGACATCTGCCAAGGCTCACTCTCTGCAACTAGACCAAGTCTTGTTTTCTGTTCTTGAAATTTAATATAAGCACAAAGATGAGTCTGATTTGCTTTCCTTGCCTGGACTGCCCTTTCTAGCGGCTCATTCTTAAGAGAATACTAGTTGTTTCCTCCCTTACCCCTCCTCCCACAAGGCACCCCTGCACTTTTCTGTTCACATTTATACAGAAACACTTGGAATATACAATGTACACTGTCTCCTACTGCTCTTCCCTTGCTCTGCATTGCCCCACTTGAACTTAGCTACCTTCACACAAAGAATCTGGCTTTTTTTTTTAATTTAAGAGTCTGAAAACTTCTGATCAGCCAGCCCAAGTTGCCTAGCCAGTAAGCCTAAACTTGGCTCCTTATGATATTGATCATTCATGCCCTGACATGTTCTTGCCCATCATCTTAATGTTTTTGAATATCGCTCTATGACAAGAAAGTTAAGCATTCTCATAAAAAAACCCATCATCTTTTCTTCTTGAACTATAAACTTTAAACTGGGCAGACTCACAAATGTACACCTTAAACTCACCATGCTAAGAACTATGACCCACACAGAGTGCTCTCCAACATGAATAGCCTTCCAATAAAATACCCCCATGCCTCTTCAGAGAGACCACCGCTTTGCAACAGTCCCAGCGCTCTCTTTACCTGTTGCAGGTAATAATTCTTCCTCCACTCTTTCCTTTGAATTCACCAAGACCGGAATCCATCGCTTTTAACTACAACCTCATTTCTACAAATGACTTCCAGTAACTAAACACAATAATCAAATGCATACATATGTCACACTTAAAATATTTACTATAGGGCCAATGAGATGGCCCAGGTAAAGGCAGTTGCCATCAAGCCTGAAGACCTGAGTTTGATATTCAGTACACACAGGGTGGAAGGTGAGAACTGACCCAAAGTTATCTTCTAACTTCTAGAAGTGTGCATGCTCCCCATAAATGCAACACACAAAGGTAATTTAAAAAAATACAAAAATAAATCAATAATAAATAAATAAAAATAAATAAATACAATCACCAGACACAGCTTTTACACACACACACACACACACACACACACACACACACACACACACACACATGACATCTGTGTTGGGGTCCTGGAGAAGTCCCACAAAAGCCCACCATCCATGTATGCAATTGGCAAGAGTGTTTTTATTGTTTCAGTATTTTGGGGCCGTCCGCCCTGCACAAAGGCAGAATGGTAGCCACCTTGGGGAAGGGGTGATGGGTCCTTTTAAGCCTAATTTAGGGGAGTGTCTAGGAAAGTTAGTTCATCTTAGGAATAATTGGTTTGTGTGGGTGGCAATTATTGTTAGTAATATCTCTTGGGTGAAAGTTAGCTGGTCAGGGTTACTGGAAGTGTTTCAGAGTTTGTCCTTTGGTTATTTGTCTAAGCCTGTGTACTTGCTGCTCCCCTTGTCCCTGTTATCTGGGGCTTTAGTGATTAAGGGCCTTTTGTTTTTGGGAATCCAGAAGTGGGGCCCAGTGAGGCCTTTCATTCCCCACTTTGAGTAGTTTATCATCTCAAATCATGGAGATATTTCATCTGGATCAACGGATTGGAATTGTTGCTTTAGGACCATTAGCTGTACTGTAGAGACCATAACTTAACAAATTTGATGAGGGCATTAATAACACAGGGCCCACAGATCAAACCAAGAGGAGAAGGACCAGGGGCCCTGTTAGGGCTGACGGAAGGGTAGTTAACCAGGGGACAACTGAATAGGGATTCATATCATCCTTCATTTTGTTGTCCTTTTCATTGTCTGTTTTCTAAGGCAACCATGTCTGCATCTATAGCCATTCTTAAGGCTCTGTAGTTTTGATCCTGTAACACTAGAGCTAAAGTCCTGGTTCCTATAGTCCTGGCCATACCGACACCTAGGAGGGTGGACAGTAAGACAGCTGTGATCACCTCTCTTTTCCCTGTCTCGGCAATGCCTCTGATTGATAAAAGATTGTATCATCTGGGCACTAGGTTATTTGGGGGACCAGTTGAACTAGGATGCAGAAATCTCTAGTTTGGTTTAGAATCTGGGTATTGACTCAAGGAGTCAGACCAGAGGCACATGCCCACCAGGTGTCATCTGGTGGGATCAGGTAACCAGCCCCCATCGATTTTTGGGTAAGGTTACATAAGTGGATGTAATCATAGGAGGGGTGGCCTACAGAGGGGTGGCCATTTCCTGTTACTCAGGGCAAGGTGAGCCTTCCTGTGTTTGGTTGTTGCCATCTACAAGTTTGTGAATCAGGAGACAGAGTAGAATTTTTCTTAATGGCTATTCCTTCACAATAAAGAGGCTTGGCATCCAGGCATAGCAGCAATGATCAGTAAGATCAGGTTTTGAAGCGTTTAACATCAAGAATGTGGCTGATATGAGTCCCAGAGGCCCTGGGCCAGGAAGTATGTATGTATGCAGGGTTATAGTGGTAACTATTGGGGCCCTTCTGCTCTTTGGCTAGGAGTGGGAACAGGTCTGGGTTGGGCATGGGCCAATACCTTATTGGGGCCCAGAGATCTTAGCGGCTATTGGAGGAAGTAAAAAAACAATTGTATATTGAATAATGCTCCCCCGATCACTAGGGGCAAATCTTACCCTGTTATATAGCCTTATTCCCCAAGTTTTTCCCTTAGCCTAGTCTTTGGCTTTTTTACCAGTCAGTGAATTTGATTGTTACTGGATTGCATCTGGCATTTCCATTCATCCCCTGGACATTTTGGCATACCTTTTCTGGCCATTGTAATAATTCTCCATTTTCGGGGGTTCCACCAGGTATTGCCTATGGAGATGCAACTCCAGGAGGCACGGAGTAGTAGTCCCCCCGCCCAAGCAAGTTTTTTTAGTAGCTTTGTCAGGTCATGTCCAGGACAAACATAGAAATGGGGTGTCCTTTGCGGCCCATTATCAAAAGGATGATCCGGGATTCAGAGTCTCCCCAAGTCAAAGGGCAGGTCGGAGATCCAAGTCTCCAGAGGTGACAAATCTGGACCAGGATGTCCCCAGTGTCAGTGTCAGTGACAAGCCAAGTGAGGTTAGGGGTGGATGAGGATTACAACTCCTTTGTCCAGGCTCTGCCCGCACTGTTAAAGGGGAGAGTCCCAGCAAGCGGAGGCCAAGGAGAAGAGTGAGAACAACCATCAGTTAACTGGGTTAGTAACCGTTTGAATTCTCAGCTTAAGAGGGTCCTGTGGATGAGCAACAGCTCTCCAGAGTCCAGGAATCGTTTCTTCTGGAGTGTAGTCTTCAGGGTGTGTGTGCATCTACAGGTTTTATGTGAGCGTGGTGGATCCAGGTGGGGACCCTGTCCACTTTGACAGCTCTTGGAGTGCTCAGGATGATGGTGTGGGGTCCCTTCCAACCAGGCTCTAGAGTCTGGGACTCGAACCTGGGTCCTCTGTGTAGACAAGTGTTCTAAACCACTAAGCCATCTCTCCAGCCCCACGTTTCAGCATTTTCAATGTCATCAAGTAATGTAAGGGCCCCCACTTTTTATTGTTAAAGACTTTGTGATAGGTGCAATAAAGGAATTTAGCAGAGACTGGCTATGTAGGGTGGCACTGGGCCGTTAGGAATCAAATTCCTGATGCCCGGATCTGCTCATTAAAGTGTGGGATTCTCTGCTGTAGTATCACCACTACTCAAGACAGCTCAGAGATAGCAATTATAACTTTTTAGTCCTGTTTAGATAACAGCCATGATCTGCATCTGTCCCAGAATGGCATCCACAAAACCATTTCTGGTTCCTAGAGCCCTGCAGACCACTTTTTTCTGATATTTATGGTGTTAATACCTTTTTGTCCATTTTAACCAATTTCGTTAATTTTAAAATATTTTTTATTCTGAGTATTAATGTTTTGTCTGCACTCCTGAGCTATCTGCACAGGACTGAGCCTGGCAGCATTCCATCGTGGCTAGAGGGGCTCAAGGGCTTCTCCCTTAACTGAGTCTATGGCTGCGGGGGAGGGGGTCCTTGTCAGTGCTGTGACCACTCAGTTGCCTGCATTCCAGTAAATACTGCCACGCCATACTCATTTTGCAAGCAGTCCTAATTAAACTCAGTGGGTCACACAGACATGAAGGCAGGAGGGGACTTGTTGGGAAGAGAAGAGAAGGTAAGTGGGGGGTGAATATGGTCAAACACATTACATACATGCATGAATTTATCACTTAAAACACACTTTAGATTCACTATCAATTTGTGCCATCTTGGAATTGGCAGGTCTTTTTCTTTTCTAAATTAAACTTACAGTTTCTTAGTCCTTAATATGGTGAGATTTTTTTTTAATCTCTTGTTTTTATGTGTATGTGTTCAAGTGAGCATGCAGGTCAGAAGACAGCCTCCAGTGCTGTTTTGTTTTTTTTTTTGAGACACACAAACATACACATAAATAATCTTAAAAAAATAAATCTGGTTGCTGGAGAGATGGCTCAGTGGCTGCTCTTCCAGAAGACCTGGGTTCAATTCCCAGCACCCACATGGCAGTTCACAACTGTCTGTACCTCCAGTTCCAGAGGATCTGTTATCCTCACACAGACATACATGCAGGCAAAACATCACTGCCCATAAAATAAATACATAAATAATAAATCTGGTCAGCATGAATGAATATAGCTTTATTATAGTAAAGATATGACAAAATTATCCCAAGTTGTAAAGTTCATAAATGACAATCATTTCAGAAAAACATGCACATGAACTGCTCTTCAATGTTCTAAATATGTGTATTTACTCACCATTGCTTAACATGTAATATTAAATGGTACCAAGAACTGCACTTGGACAATACTCAGTACTGAACTAAACATACATTTGCATCATTCAGAATTGTAATCCACCCACAAAAAATGCCTAAAAAGGAGCCAGCATCACCTTTCCCTTTAAATGTCAGGGCCGCCTCTTTTGTAATTTTCATTTACCTTTACAACTGAAACTTTTCAAATGTAAGAATTATGCTAAATAAGCCTACAGATTTTCCACAGTATTAACTTTTCTTCCACAGTATATATACATATATATTATATATATAAAATATATTATATCTCCTGTAACCTTAGTCACACATGATTTTCTTTGTCCTTTGAGACACAGTCTCATGAATTCCTGGCTGGCTTTGAATTCACTACACACTCCAAGCATGACCCTGAACTTCTGACCCTCTTGTCTCTACCTCTGAGTATCACAATCTCAGGCATATGGCATGGTGCTTGGTTGTGCAGTGCTGGAGAACAGACCCAGGGCTTCATGCATGCAAGGCAAACACTACCAACTGAGCTACATCTCCAGGCCCTCATAGAACTTTTTAAATGCAATTCTGATTTTTAAAAAATTTTTTGGACTTGATATGTTGTATTTAAACAAAACAAAACAAAACAAGCACTTCTAAGTTTTCCTAGAAAATAAATGATCCACATATAAAAATCATGTCTCAAATATTTTACACATTTACATTTCACTGCAAATACTCTAAAATAGAGCTATATGCCACTTCTCTTGTGAGGCATCATCACAGTACATAAATAGCCCACCAGTAAAGTCTTTCCTAAATTAACATAGATTATATCATGACTTTGGATGGCAGACATATTACTTTGCCAAAAGGTCTACTAGTATTACATTTAAGGGGTATTTGAAAAGGAATTATCTTAATGAGTTAGAAATAAATTAGCCTTTCTTGGTTTTGTGTCACATGATATCATAGTAGTGAAAAAAGTATGCTCTTGGAAAAATGTTGTTTTAGTAAGTTTCCTCACAAGTGAGGGCTCGGGATGCAGCTGAGAAACAAGAGCACCTGTGTAGCACGCACAAGCTCTGGGTTTCACACCACACAAAAAAGTATAAATGTCCAGTTGCTGACCCAACTTTATATAATGACTAAATCACTTTTCTTAACATTTATGGGCTCTGCATCAGTATGAATTTCCTATCATATGAGAGATGAGTCCAAAATAAAAGATTTTCCACATTCCTTGGATATCTGAGGTTCCTTGCCTGTACACACTCCTAAAGTTATGAATCTGAAAGGCATTTCCACATTCTTTATGTCTCTTTTGAGTATGTACTTTCTATCAGTTAAATTTGGAATAATGAGTAAGTGTTTCCACAATCCTTGAATTCACAGTTTTCTTAGCCAAGAATTTACAGATGTCTATTAAATTCTGAACCATGAAGAAAGGTCTTCCCATGTCCTTATATCCAGTTTCCTCTCATGAATATTCTCACTTTGACCAAGATATGAACCCAGGAAAGTCTTCACATTGCTTACACTTGTAGGGTTTCTACTACCGTAGACTAACATGGATAATGTAGCGAGTCTTCTGTCCCACCAGCCAGCTCCCAAATCACAACATAGAGACTTATTATTAATTATGAAAGCTCAGTTGATAGCTTAGGCTTGTTTCTAACTAGCTCTTATAACTTAAATTAACCCCTATCTTTTAATCTACTTTCTGCCTCATGACTTTATTACCTCATCTCCGTAGAGGCCATCCTGCTTGCTTTCCATCTGGCTGGACTCCACCCTTCTTCTTCCCAGCATTCTTTCTACCTCGAAAATCCTGCCTAGCTATTGGCTATTTAGCTTTTTATTAAACCAATCACAGTGACATATCTTCACACAGATAGTGGCTTGAGTTACAGATGAAGGCTTTCCCAAATCTCAGTCATAGATTTCCTACCAATGTAGACATTCTAATGCTGGGTAAGATTTGAGACACAAAAATAGGCTTTTCCAAGTGTTCTGCCTTAACTTGATTTCTCATCATTATAAATCTTCTGAAACTGATTGAGCTGAGCCATGAGTAGAATCTTTCCAACACTCCTTACATTGATAAGATTGTTTATCAGCGTGAACCCTCTCATATTTAATAACATCTGACTGCCTGCTGAAGGCTTTTCTACATTCATTACATCCTTGGACTGTTCGACACTGTGAATTCTCTGATGTTTAATGAGGTGTGACTGCTGAATAAAGGCTTTCCCACACTCATTACATTCATAGGGCCTCTCACCAGTGTGAATCCGCTGATGCCGAGCAAGGTCTGAGGCAGAAGCAAATGCTTTCCAGCATTCCTGACATTTATAGGGCTTCTCACCGGTATGTAGTCTCTGATGTCGAGTAAGTTCTGAACTGTATCTAAAGGCCTTTGGGCATTCCTTACACTGAAAACGTTTCTCCCTAATATGAACTGTCTTAAGATCTGTGTCACTTGAATGCCAACTGAAGTCCTTGTCATTCTCTTTATATTCATTGGTTGTCTCGCCAGGTTGAAATTGAGTAAGTTCTGAACCACAAACAATGGTCTCTGCATATTCCTTATCTTGCCAGAATTTCTCACCAGTATGAATTAAAGAATGCTGAGGATGTTCTAAACCAGAACTGAAGTCCTTGTCACCCCCATTGAATTCATGTGATTTCTTACTATGACTTTTCTGATGTTGAGTTAGGTGTGCACCGCGAGTGAAAGCTTTTCCACACTCCTTACATACATAAGGCTTTACACCGGTGTGAACTCTCTGATGCCGGCCAAGGTCTGATCTGCAAATAAATCCCTTTCCGCATTCCTTACACTTATAGGGCTTTTCACCAGTGTGAATCTTCTGATGGCGAGCGAGATCTGAGGGACAACGAAAGGCCTTCTCACAGTCCTTGCATTTAAAAAGTTTCTCCCTGTTATGAATTTTCTTAAGACTGCTGACAATGGAGCGCAAACTAAAAGCCTTGCCACACTCTTTACATTCGTATATTTTCTTACCAGTGTGAACTGTCTGGTACTGAGTAAGTTCTGAATCTGGAAAAAACGTCTTCCCATTTTCCTTATCTTCAAAGAACTTCTCACCAATGTAAATTAACTGTCGTTGAGTATGATCTAAGGCAAAACTAAAAGAGTTTTTACATTCTTTACATTTATGCAACTTATCACCAGTATGAATTTTCCTATGTTGACTTAATTGTGACCCACATGTGAAAGCTTTCCCACACTCCTTGCATACGTAAGGTTTTTCACCAGTGTGGATTCTCTGATGTTTAATGAGATGTGACTGCTGAATAAAAGCCTTTCCACACTCATTACATTCATAGGGTTTTTCACCAGTGTGAATTCTCTCATGGCGAGTGAGGTCTGAGCCGCAACTGAAACCCTTTCCACATTCCCTACACTGATAGGGCTTCTCACCAGTATGAATCCTGTGATGTCGAGTAAGGTCTGAGCTGTAATTAAAGTACTTTCCACATTCCTTACATTCGTAAGATTTCTCACCAGTATGAATCCGAACGTGGACACTGAGCAGTGAATGAAATCTAAAGGCTTTCCCACATTCCTTACATTTAAAAGGCTTTTCCCCAGTGTGAATTCTCTTGTGACCAGTAAGACTAGACCGAAAACTAAAAGCCTTGCCACATTCTTCACACTGAAATGTTTTCTTTCCGGTGTGAACTGCACGATACCGAGTAAGTTTAGAACCAGGAGGAAAGGTTTTCCCACATTTTTTATCTTCCTCGAGTTTCTCACCCATGTGAATTAACTGAAGTTGAGTGGGGTCTGAGGCAAAACTAAAGGATTTTTCAGATTTAAATTTATTTGTTTTCGCGTCTATATTCAGTCTTGGACACTGATTAAAAGCTGTGAGCTGATTGAAAAAGGGCAATTTTTCGTAGGTAAGTGTCATTTGCTTAAAGCATTCCTCTTGATTCTCCTTTTGTGTTGGAAGCTGACCTTTGCCTTCCCAATCAGCTCTAGGACACGAACCTTCAAGGCTGTGGTTTGGATCAGTTTCCATTACTTCCCACTGGGATAACTGTCTTGCACACGCGCTAGTTTTTGGTAGGACCTTCATCTGCCACACAGAATCTATATCTGAAAGACAATAACATAAATATATACGGTTTTACTATCCATAAAGAAAAAAAAAATGTCCTCAAAAGCAAATGTTAAAGTAAATCACACAAGAAGTGAATGGCTTAAAAAAAAAAAACAAAAAAAAAAAAACCCAAAATCTGGACAATATTAAAAAGACAAAAAATAAACAGAAATTTCAGAGAGCTAATTTTTTTTTTTTTTTTTGTTTTTTTTTTTGTTTTTTGTTTTTTCGAGACAGGGTTTCTCTGTGTAGCTTTGCGCCTTTTCCTGGAACTCACTTGGTAGCCCAGGCTGGCCTCGAACTCACAGAGATCCGCCTGGCTCTGCTTCCCGAGTGCTGGGATTAAAGGCGTGCGCCACCACCGCCCGGCCAGAGAGCTAATTTTAAAGGGGGGATGCCTAGACAGTACTAAGATTTTATAAAAACCAGGGCCAAGAGGTACAAGCGGGATAATCAAGTTAAGAACGGTGTAACAGAGCTCACTGTTTAGTTTCTCCTGTCTCCACTTGAATGATTCCACAGGCTGCTTCCTTCATGGCTTTTAAAAATGTATGCATTTAGCCGGGCGGTGGTGGCGCACGCCTTTAATCCCAGCACTCGGGAGGCAGAGCCAGGCGGATCTCTGTGAGTTCGAGGCCAGCCTGGGCTACCAAGTGAGTTCCAGGAAAAGGCGCAAAGCTACACAGAGAAACCCTGTCTCGAAAAACAAAAAACAAAAAAAAAAAAAAAAAAAAAAAAAAATGTATGCATTTATTTTGTGTGTATGGATGTTTGCCTGCATGTATGTCTGTGGACCATGTGTGTGCCTGTACCCAAGGAGGCCAGAAGTTCAAGAGATCCCCAGGATTGGAGTTAGGCAGCTGTGAGCCACCATGTGGGTGCTGGGAATCAAACCTGGGACCCCTTTAAGAGCAGCCATTGAACCATCTTTTCGGCCCCTTCATGGCTTTTTGTACAATAGGAGACACAAGCATACCCAGGCTGGCTCAGTCAAAAACAGATTTATTTTTAATTTATTATTATTATTATTATTATTATTATTATGATTACTGTGTATGGAGAGAATCAGAGACAGAGACAGACAGACAAACTGTGCATGTGGCACTCATTGTATGTAGGTGTGACTGTGGGCATGCACATGCCACTGCAGACACTTGGAAGTCCGTGTGTGTGTGTGTGTGTGTGTGTGTGTGTGTGCGCGTGTGTGTGTGTGTGTGTGTGTGTGTGTGCGTGTGATGAACATGCCACCGTAGACGTGAAGTCACACTACGGCTTTAGGAGCCAGTTCTCCTCTCCCACCATGGGTCCAGGGACCGGATGCCGGTCCTCAGAAACGCAGAGCGACGCTTTTCTACCTGCCCAGCCCTCAGGCTTGTCCCGGCACATCATCCCCACAAGGCACCTGGCAGAGGAGGACTGGGTGACTGATGAAGGCCATCCTCATCCACAGAGAAGGAAATGGAGAATAGAGGGAAGCGGACAAGCCAGGGCTTGGCCTGGCCATGCATTCTCCGGGTTGTCTCCCTTTGGCCCTAACCTCTTTGCAGGTAGTTCCTCTAAGTGGCCCAAACTGTTTTCCTCACTAGTCCAATGTTTAACCACCAGCCTAACAGGTTCTTTTCATGTATGATGGACTACGCAAAAATTTGTGGATATGTTCCTGTCACAGAGAATACAAGGTTTATTAATATATACTCTCTCTTAACACTAGTGAATCCGAGCTGACGTTAGAAAACTGGAAAACAAGGAAGAAGAAAGTAGATAAAGTGAGGTAATTCAAGAGGGCTGCGTGGGGTGGCCCATGAAGGAAGGAAATCTTTTCAAGTAGCTGAAATGAATGATACATTTGCCAAATTTTTTGAGAATGGGGGAATTTATAAATCCCTAAATGGAAAAAGGTAAGGAAACAGCAAGAGATGGGAAGGCACTGGACCTACATCATTCACAGAAGAATGGCCACTAGAGAGGAGGACGGCACGTCACCTGCTGTCACACGGGGCACAAATGAGACGATGGGTAAGAGCGGACTCTGAGTGAGGGTGATGCAGGAAAGGCTTTGTCAGCCAGGGGAAGGATGCTCTGGACCAGTGTCAGAGGTGCTGCTGCCTCTCTACTGGATGACTGCCCCACTCGCTGTTACTCACCTGGGCAAAATCCTCCGGTCTCACTGCCCAAATCCACGCAGGCATCCTGCTCTTTTTCCAACACAGGGAGCACACGTGGTTGATAAATGCAAAGTCCTGCATGTAAGATAAGATATAGGAAGCAACCACACGAGTAAGAATTCCAAAATTCTCATCTGGTGTGACAATCACAGGAAGAGCAAGGAAAAAGGATGATTCACTTTAGGAGGAGCATGAACATGGAGGTCCCCAATGATGACTATCATCTTTGCAAAAACACAACCCATTTTCCCAGAAGAAACACAGGTCAGAAATCCCCTTGACATTTGAAAAACAAGTCAATAATTGACGATAAAGCACCCAGGAATGTCTAGGGTTAAACTGAGCCTTACCTACTGAGACAAGGTGGTTGTAGTTCTCCAACATCACATCTCTGTATAAATGCCTCTGTTCCAGGTTTAGACACTCCCATTCTTCTGGAGAGAAATCTACAGCCACATCGCTGAACGTCATTACCTGCCATCCGACAATTAACCCCAGTGTTAATGGTACAATTGAACAAATGATTTAGATGGAAGAGAAAAGCTGGTGAAGGGCAGAGCAGGGAATGAGACGACGACGACGAGGCAAACCAGAGCTGGCAGTTTGTGGTCCGGGGAGACGGCAATGGAACTAAGTGTGACCAATCAAGCTGAGTGCCACAGGCTCTTAAAAACTATTGCTCTGGGGACTGGAGAGATGGTTCAGGGGTCAGGAGTGCTTGCTGCACTTCTAAAGGATCTGAGCTTGGTTCTGAGCACCCATACTGGGCACCCATACTGCCCATAGCTCCGGGAAATCCGACACCCTCTTCTAGCCTTCACTGGCATCTATACACACATGATATTCACAGAAGTATACACACATACACATTAAAAAAATAAATTGTAGAGCCAGGCAGGAGGATCTCTGTGAGTTCGAGGCCAGCCTGGTCTACAGACTGAGATCCAGGACAGGCTCCAAAGCTACACAGAGAAACCCTGTCTCGAAAAACAAAAAAAATAAAATAAAATAAAAATAAATAAATTGTAAAAACAAACTACTGCTTGGTCACAACATCCTTATAAGCTTCATATGAGGAACACCAGGACAAAAGGGTGGTGGCCTGAAGACATCCCAGGAGTTTATGGCAGACATCATGGAGAGAATACACCTGTTTAAAGTCCCGAACTCCAGATATATGTAAAACATGAGAAAATGCAGGCCTTTTATGGGCTGTCCATTTTGTTGTTTCCTTTTAGTGTAGGGTGCTTTTAGTGGAATTTCCTATCAGTTTAAAATGACAGAATTTTAGGGATATATTTCCCAAGTCCTGTTTTTTTTTCTAAGCAGAGTGTGTTGCTCTCTGTAAGCAACTGCCAATCAGCTAGCTTCTTGCTGATCCCCAGGTCTCTGCACACTCAGTGTCTCTGACATGACCTCTAAATGCACTGGCAAGCGCCGCACACCGAGAAGGCCTCATCCTGACCGAAACGCTCCAGTCTGTATGTAGAGCAAGTGCGAACCTTCATATGCCATCTCCTCCCACCACCGTTCTGCCTATGGGTTTGAAGTGACACTCTAGGATGTCCTCTCTAGAGGCACTCCTCCTGATTAGATATTCTCTTAGGTCTAAAACACAAGGGTTACTGACTGCCATGTGGGAGATACCAGTTGAGGGGAGAGTGCCATGTAGGGAAGGCCCTAGGCTGCTCCACAGCATCACTACTACCCGGAATTGACTTGGCTGAGTGTGGTGATATTTTGTTTGTGCTCTATCTAACAAATAAGGCTTGTCTGGAGATCAGAGTGCGGAGCCAGCCACTAGTTAACCATAGAGGCCAGGCAGTGGTGGCTCACACCTTTAATCCCAGCACTAGGGAGGTAGAGACAGTAATATAAGACCAGGGGAGACAGGAGCTCGGCCTCTTTCAGGCTGAGGAGTTGGTGAGGTAAGAGGTGGCTGTGGCTTGCTCCTTTGTCTCTCAGATCTTTCAGCATTTACCCCAATATCTGGCTCCGGGTTTTTATTATTAAGACCAGTTAGGATTCTCACTATAGTTAAGTAGTTTGAGAACAAGGGACAAAAACATTCCTATGAGCAGAAATAGTTATTTTTGAGAATACAAACTCACATGGGCCATGATTGAAAACTTGTGAATGTGACCAGTCCTCTTCTTGATTCCTATCGTTATGACGCCAACTCCTGAGGAAACAGAGCACAGGGAAGAGAATCAGGAGATGCCCGACTTTCCAGAGACCTTGCAAACGGATGAGAAAAAAGGCCATTTTCTTCCCTGGAGGAAGGCAAGAGGGAGTGTGATGAAATGCTGGCCCCACCAAAAATCAAGAGAACCCCAACTAAAACAGGATGGAGTTATAATCGAATTAGTTGTGTCAAAAATCATTCCATAGCTGGGCAGTGGTGGCGCACACCTTTAACCCCAGCACTCAGGAGGCAAAGGCAGGTGGATATCTGCATTCCAGGTCAGCCTGGTCTACAGAGGTAGTTCTAGAACAGCCAGATACACAGAGAAACCCTGTCTCAAAAAACAAACAAAAAAATCACTGCATAGATCAGGATATGAGACGAAGTTATTCTGATTGAATCTAAGTGTCTCTAATAACTCTACATAGCTGGAGTTAGAAATCTTCAAAGGCAATGGAACTCTCCCTTCTGGAAGCCCATCAGAGCAACCCGGACTCCGCTGTGTGTCCAGGACAGCATCTCCATTTTCCCCATGTCTAACAAACCTACTGAATCATTTTCATCTAGAGCATCCAGGAAGGGTCACACTGTAAAACTGAAGACAGTCTTGAGGCTCTAACAAGCCTCAGGAAACACCATGCAGTGGGACAAGTGTTATTAGGGCATCTGCAGAACCGGGCACACAGTCCAGCTCCACTGCCAGCCCCCACTACCCTCTAATCTCTGACACAGTCCTAACAAGTGTGCTCCACAGCCGGGGCCGCGGACCTCCTCTCCGCAGGGAGAAGTGACTGCTCTTTTAAAACCTTATGTGTGCTTTATCTGCATGAACGTCTGTGCACCGCATGTGTGCCTGGTGCTCCCTGAGGCCAGAAGAGGGCGCCAGAGTCCCTGGAACTGAAGTTAGAGATGGTTGTAAGCTGCCCTGTGGGTGCTGGGAACTAAACCCAGGTCCTCTGCAGGAGCAGTGAGTGCTCTTAACTGCTGAGACATCTCTCCAGTCCCTAACACTACATTTTTAAAATAAGATTTAAACTTATTAGAGATGTAGAGAATGGCTTAATAGTAAGAGCACTGGCTACTCTTCCAGAGGATTTCCAGGGGACCTGGGTTCAATTCCCAGCACCCACATGCTGGCTCACAAACATCTGTTAGTTCCAGCTTCAGGGGATCAGCCATCCTCTCTGTGGGCATTGCATGTATATGGTACACATACATATAAAATAAAATTTAAGAAAGAAAAACAAACAAACAAACAAAAACCAAAAAAAAAAAAAAAAAAAAAAGGTCAGACGAGGTATTGAACACCTTTAATCTCAACGCCCAGGAAGGAGAGGCAGGAGTATCTTTGTGTCAGTAACCAGGCCCACATCTCAAGTTCCTGGCCAGTTGGAGCTACATAGTAAGACCCTGCCTCAAACAACAAACAAACAAATACATAGAGAGAAAGGAAAAGAAAACAAAGAACAAAGGCAGGGGGCTGGAGAGATGGTTCAGCAGTTAAGAGCACTGGCTGTTCTTCCAGAGGTCCTGAGTTCAATTCCCAACAACCACATGGTGGCTCACAACCATCTGTAATGAGATCTGGTGCCCTCTTCTGGCCTGCAGGGATACGTGCAGACAGAACACTGTTTATATAATAAATAAATCTTAAAAACAAAAACAAAAACAAAAAACAAAAGGGGGGGAGCTGTGTGAGAGGGCAGAGCAAGGGTACAGTGAGGCTCATGAGGACTCCATGTCCATTTCCCTGGGACATTAAGGGTGTCATGGTCATGATGGGTCTTTTCGAGAAAAGTGAGTAGTGACACACTTTGAATTTGGGGGATGGGGGGATGGGGGCATGGGCGTAGATGTAACCAACCTTCTTATTAAATAAGAAACACAGAACCAATGCAAAGAAGAAAGCCAAGAGGTCAGAGCTAAGAGCTAAAACCTTACCCTTCCTCCTGCAGTGGTCCTACCTCTCCGAACCAGAGCTACCCCTGTGTTAAAGTCTTTATATAGAGTTCCTGTCCTGCCTTCTCATTGGTTGTAAACCCAACCACATGACCGCCTCGTCAGGGCCTGTCTATATAGGCCTCCAGGTTTTCCATGATTGGTATTGAGATTAAAGGCATGTGTATCCAATAATGGCTGTATCCCTGAACATACAGAGACTTACCCAGCTCTGCCTACCAAATGCTGGGATTACAAGCGTATGCCACCACTGGCCTGCTTTCCTATGGCTTGCTAATAGCTCTGACCCCCGGGCAACTTTATTTATTAACATACAAATAACATTTTAATACAAATAAAATATCACCATAGATAGGGGGGTGGGGGAATGGGGATAGGGGTAGGGAATGGGGATGGGGGGGACAGGGATAGGGAGACTTGAGACTAATTATTACACAGTTTGAAGGAGGAACAATTCAAATCCTGCATTCCTCCTGAAACCGTGTAGAGGAATCAGAAATAAACAGAACCTGTGTGGACGCTCCAGCAATGAGGAGAACTCATTCTATGAGGAGTGGGCCAAACACTGAACATAAGATTCTAACAGAAATGATATGACACCTGGGTTTCTGTGAGTTCTAGGCCAGCCAGGACTCCATAGTCAGACACTGTCAAAAAGAAAAAAGAAAAGAAAGGAAAGGAAAGGAAAAAAGATGTAAGGGAGATTCAAGGTGGCAAAAGAAATACATTGTGAGACTATAAGTGTATACCAATACTTAGCTGTCTAAATCAATATCATGAAAGGGCATGATGGCATGGGGGAAATGGCACAAAAATCATCAATACCAAAACGTTACCTAATAAAAGCATTAGATTAGAAAACATGAAGAGTGGATGTGCTGGAGAGGTGCCTAGGGGGTTAAGAGCACTGTTGTTCTTGAGAAGACCTGCACCCACATGATGGTACACAGCATCCGTAATTCCAGTTCCTCTGTGAGGAACCAGGCATGCTCGTGGTATACATACACAGGCAAAATGCTCATGCACATAAAGTTATAAAAAAATTTTAAAACCATGAAGAGTTGTTCTAAAAAGATCAACTGTCTGTAACAAAAAGGAAATTCAAGTTTTAATTAGACTTTTCCATCTTGAAAAACTTATGGGTTTTTAGCATATTTGTAGAAAAAGAAATGAGAGATTCAATGACTATCTAGCCAATCTATTATTCCTTTTTAATTAATAAATTAACTTATTTTGGCTTTTTGAGACAGAGTTTCATTATGTAGCCCTGGCTGGCCTGGAACTTATTAAGTAGATCAGGCTAGCCTCAAACTCACAGAACTCGCTTGTTCCTGCCTCCAGAGTACTGGGATCAAAGACTAGTGCCACCACACTCAGCTCATTAATTTTTAAAGATACAAAGAGTAACCAGGAGTGGACATAACCCTGTAATCCCGAATTTAAGAGGTTGAAGCAGGAGGATCACTATGGGCTCAAGGCCAGCCTGGGTTACTTAGGAAGATCCAGTCTTAAAGGGGGTGGGGGGAGAGCAAGCAAAAGATGTGTGTGTGTGTGTGTGTGTGTGTAATGCTATGATATAAGAACTTTGAGAATATTCACAAAAGTCCTTTCTGAAAAAAATACTAGAGGTCACACAGAAACAAACAGGAAAAAAATCAGCAAAATAACTGCAATGGACTGGATACATTTAAATGTGATTCTAAATAAAAAGCAAGGTGGGAATTAGGGTGGCCAGCATCCTGAATGTCCAACACTGTATGCTAGCCTCCTTTATTCAACAGAATGGACTTCTGAATGAGTAAGATACTGTGGGGTGGGAAATGTGATTCAGTGTGTGGCGTGCTTGCCCAGAATGCACCAAGTTCTAAGCACCGCCCATACTAACTGCTGTTCCACCTCTCAGCTAAGACCGACAGAGAAAAGCTTAGAGTGTCTCCAGGGTCTTCAGTTCTCTCCTCATTTTGTGTTACCCCCACTTCAACGACCTTTTAACACTGAAATTGCTTTCCGTATTTGTTGCTAAGCAAGTCAGGGTAGACTGGGAGTTTTCCCACCCAGTCAGCCAACCACTGATTGGTTCTTTCTGCAAAAAGAGTAAACATGCCGTGTTATAATATTTGAACGAAGCCCACCCACATAAGCCCATGGCAGCGATCTTCATCTTTTGAACACGTGCTACATGACCCTGAACTGAGCATCCCTGGAAAGGGGTCTCATCGTTCCTTCATGAACTATGACCCCAGAGCACTTTCCTACAGGTATTCAAATAGGTTCCCAGGAGAGACTCACCACACTTTTCCAAGGAATAAACCCAGCATTTTCCTCCATCATCTGCAAATAATAATGGTACTCTACTTGCAACTTTATTTAAGATTTTACTTTTTAAAATGTTTATGTGTATCTGGGGGAAGGGGTATGTAAACTTGAACACTGGTACCCAGAACACCATTGGGCATCTCGGAGCCTCTGAACCTGAAGGAGGTTGTGAGCCTCCTGAATGTGTGCTAGGAACTGAACTTAAGTCCTCTGCAAGAACAGAAAATGCTTTTAACCGCTGAACCATTTCTCCAGGTTTATTTCCATTTTTTAAAAAGGATTTATGCGTGGGGTGTGGGGTGTGTGTTTGTGTGTGTGTGTGTGTGTGTGTGTGTGTGTGTGTGTGTGTACACATTAGTGCAGGTGCTGGGGCAGGAAGGTCCATGTAGCTAGAGTTACAAGCAAGAGCAGCCAACATCAGTGCTAAGAACCAAACTCAGATCCTCTGCAGAAGTAGTATGCACCCTGAACACCTGAGCCTCTCCTGTCCCCTTCTCTACGCTTACCTCCTGTTGTATTTCTGCCATTTCGCTCGCCAAGATGTGAACTCACTGCCTTCAGTTCCACCCTCGCTTTTAGAAATTACAATGTCTATTATTAAACACAATGTTCATTCTTGGCGGTGCCAGGGCTGCTGCTCTATCATGTTTACACACACAGTTTAAAACTGTCCACTGAATATGACCATCGCTTTCCGGAACACACACACACACACACACACACACACACACACACACACACACACACACACACACACACACACACACACACACACACACACACACACACACACACACACACACACACCTCTCATATTAGTGCCAAGTGTGTACCCCACAAGCCCCAAGCTCCCATACTAACCCCAACTCTGCCAGCCCGGAACGGCACATCCTCTTCAGAACTTCGCGCTTCGTAGGAAAGCCCTACACCCCTGAACTCGATTTCCAAGGACATTCTGATTCCAGGCCTTAAACTGACACTATGCCCCACACATCCTGGACGTCCCTAGGGATTCGGGTCTGAAGCCAGCTGGGTCGGAACTCCAGGAAGTTGCTTGTTAACAGTGCACTCTGGGAAATGTAGTCCAACGCTGTATGATCGTCAACAAAAGACTAGACCACAACTATCAATTTACAGGCCCTAGCTTTAAACTCCATTACTCCCATCGGTAGAGAACATCCCTCACACAACGCTAACAACTGTTCACGAGAGCTTCAGAAATTTCAGGCAACACTGAGATGGCCTACATACTGCTCTTTCTCAGCTATGCAAACGATGCCCCCTGCCATCTTTGGACATGCAATAGCCACGGGTGTGATGGCTCCTGGGAAATGTAGTCCACAGCCTAGGAAGCCAGAGAAACCGGCCTCCGAAAGATGGCCAATAAACGCGGGGCACTAACAGACACATGGGTTCCTGCTACAAGGTCTTGTAAAACAGCATCATGCTAGAGGTGAGGTTGAACTGTCTCTGCTCCAGCTGGTTGAATCACTACCTCTTATCACACTAGCACCTGCCTGCCTTAGGACAAAGGATGAAAATGATTTTAGATGGTGCCCGCCCCAAACCCTGGTGTCCTGCCTAAGAATCCATGAAAATCCTATCTTGAACTCGGGTTTAGTAGCTCTTCCATTCTCAAACAAACAGAAACACCTCAGTCCTATCTTCCAGGCAATCTTTTTTAAATGTTATTATTTTATTTGTTTCCCATCCTCCAGGCAATCTTTTCAAAATTGTTGTTTATTTGTTTGTTTGTTAGTTTGTTTATTTATGTGTATGGGTGTTTTGTCTGTCTGTATGTCCGTGCACATGGGCTGGGCATCAGATCCACTGGAACTGGGGTTACAGGCAATTGTGAGCCACCATGAAGGTGGTGGGATTCAAACCTAGTTCCTCTGCAAGAGCAGCAAGTGTTCTTAACTGCTGAGCCATCTCTCCATCCCCTTCAATTACCCTTAAAGCATGTGTTGTAAAGGCCTGATCACGGTTACATTATTATTACCTGGTATATTGATGCCATCCTTTTTTGCTTAAGTCCTCACAGAGGAGGAATGGTGACCAAAAGCTCACATGGATTAAAAGAGCAGGGCTTATAAGGAAGTCTTTAGGCATTTCAGTGGTGTTAGGCCCTCAGTGAATGTCTGCGCTATGTATGGTTCTCATTTGGCTACTTCGATAAGAACCTCCTTCACTGTTTAGTCACCCACCAGTCTCTTGTTAGAACTAGATTCCACCCAGTTTGGTGAAGTTATAATCCACCCGAGAGAGGATGGTGCAAGACCTGGAATTTAATTTAGACACCAACAGATGTGCAGGGTGTGGTAGTACTCACCTACAACCCTGGCACTTAGAAAATGGAGATGTGAGGATCCAGGAGTTCAGAGCTAGACTCTGATCTATCCTGTTGGAGGCCAGCATAAGCTACAGTCCATTTCAAAAACAAACAAAAACCCCCACTTGACAACTGTGCCTGAGCTTGGGTCTTTAATCATGTTACTATATATACATGTATGTATATGTATATATATATATACACACAGCATATAGTTTGTATATGTATATATACACATATATAGTTTATATGTACATACATATATTTATATACAGTTTATATATATATGTATATATACACACACATTTTTATATATGATGGCCCACACCTGTAATCCCAGCACTGGCAGATAGTCTCTATGGTCAGCATGGTTTGCATAGAAAGTTCTAGACTAGCCAGAGCTACATAGAGAGGCCATGTCTCAAAAGGAAAGGAGGGAGTGTTATAGCATTAAAATTTCTGAACACTTCAGAGGAGGAAAAGAGACGGCATTTTGCTTTCCAAGTCTGGATTACGTGGACGCGCATCGCTGTAGCTACGCTCCCCCGGTTCTTCAGCACTGTGTTAGTTCAATCGTGCTGATGCTGCTCTCTGTAATAAAGGTAATCACCTCGCTGGAGAGGGCGTGGTGGTTCACACGTGGTATCTCAGTCTTTAAGAGGGAGAGGGATTGCCTCCTGAAGGGTGACCAGGGCTAAACAGCAATGTCGCCTGTCTAAACAAACCCAAAACAACAGAAACCACTTGGAAGTGGAGGGAGGAGGGAGGAGGGAGGACCCGGAGTTCAGGTCAATCTTGGTTATAAAGAGACTAAGAGGCCGGCTCAAAAGCCAAACAACAATGACAAACTTCACCTGTGTCTCAAGAACTCTCTAAAGGGAACACATCTGCTTGGAGGATCCTGGGCATAACCTTCCCCACCTTCCACATACATACACAAAACGGACAAAACAAAACACACTTGTGTTTAAAAAGTCATAATGCCCGTGGATTGCCTTCGCACAATTATCTTGGGGAAAAATTAAAATGCTAATTAGTTATTATCAGCTGTTCCTTTTCCTCCCATAATGTACAGGAAGAAACACAATTACTAATCGCAATTTGAAAAGAAAATGAGATTTAGGAGGCTTCAGATTTCTCTATAATCTCAGCCACTCGGGCAGTGATCCATGCAGTGACCAAGACACAAGTAACTATTCCATGCACATACAGTGTTCCCTCCCCACAGCAGCACGCTCCACTCACAAAACCGCACAGCTCGACCCCAGCTCCTCTCACGCACATTCTTCTTACCTCGCAGTTTCTCTGTCGTTCAGCTCTCCCCGGACCCAGTCGCACACGTAATCTCCCCATGATCTCTCTCACACCCACTCCGGCCTGCCATTGCGGAATCTGTCACCTACAGGACGAGGCTGGCTTCCTCTTGGTCAAACTGCCCCGCCTGGTTTGGTTTCAGAACCCGGAGTCCCACATTTGCTTGCCCGGCCCCAACTTCCAGCAGGAAGCCGGATTCCGAACAGCCTCCCTGGTCAGATTTCCGCCTGGGGATTGGATGACTCAGCCCACGCTAGCCGCGCCCATCCGGTCTCTGGTACGGTCTTGGACTACATTTCCCAGAAGACCCCGTAAGTCACCACTAGAGTGGAGGTACCCTGAAAATTCACGGCTCTGAGATAGGGCCGGGTTCAAGAAAGATTGGAGTAGACCAGTTAAACCTGCAAGGACAATTTCGTTTAAGTGGGTGAAGGAGCTTACTGCCAAGCCTGATGACCTGAGTTCGATCCCCGGGGACACACGGTGGAAGATGAGAATTGATTCCTGCAAGTTGTCTGCTGAACGCCACACGCGCGCCCACATGCACACACGCAAAAATAAACAATTTTTGTTTGTTTGTTTTTAAGAAGGAGTATTGCAACAAGTTTGGCACAGTAGGTCACGCCTTTAATTCCAGCAGTCGGGAAGCGGAGGCAGGAGGAGCGCTACGAATTGAAGGCCAGTCTGGGCTGTCTCTAACACATAAGTATTGCCAATAGTCAACTGAGGAATTACGGCCAACCAGCAGGACGAGGAGAGAGTGATTGGTAAAGCATTGGACGAACTTTATCAATAAGAGAGGTTCTTACCAAGGACTCCGCTAAGCTCGGGTTGACAACGGCCGGGGAGGAGGTCTAATAGAAATGAGGGTTCAGAGGAGCCTGAGCAAAGTCTGGTCTAGGGAGCCCTTGTCAGCAGGGATTTCCTCACGACTCCGATAAACAGCTGAACAGTTTGTGCGGGTTGTCCCTGCCACAGCGTTGAGCACAGACTTCTGCCCCCTGCCGCTTCCTGGACTACATTTCCCAGAGGGCCCTGGGCTTTGTACTTCCCTCTCCTGAGAACCTCTTTGGAGGAGTGGGCAAGATACTCCAGCTAGGTTTGGGGAGAACTTGATTAGCCTCTTTAGGGATAATGAGGCGCCTTGGTGCCAAGTGTCTGGATGGTCCAGCCTGTGCGGAGCATGGAGGGAACAAGCTGACTCAGGGAGATCGTGGGACGCGTAGGATCGTTATCGTGTGTCTGGGTGACAGCGGAGGGACTGTGAAGGCGGCAAGGATTGCTTGATTGGCGATTGATGATCACGTCCTTTGTGTGTGAGTGGAGCTTGACAGGTCCCTTGAGTGTACATTCCCTGGACTTACGTGTTTGTGAGCACTGGCAAACTGTGCGAGAGGGTAAGGTGCCTCCACTGAGAAGTGTGACTACTTCCCAGTGTGCCTTTTCCACTTTTGGTGGGGTGTGGGGGCAGGGGTCTCCGTGCGAACTCTGCTGTTGTGACTATGCCTGCCGCCTGGTATGTGCCAAGGCTTGCGTGGGGGGTGGATTGTATTTTCGTTTGAGGCACCCGTGGCTTTTGTGTCCTCGTAGTGTGAGTGTGATTGATTGGAGAGTCGGGTAAGGGTCATCTTTGTGCCTTTGTGACTCGAGCCACAGGAAACTTGGGGCAGATTCTGTCCTGAACTAGTCACCCTACTTAGTCTGATGCTTGGTCTGCATAGGAAGCCCCTAGACTTCTCTGATTTCTTTTTGTATGTGATGGGTTGCTGTGGATGATGCTCATTGTTAATAAAACGCTGATTGGCTGGTGGCAGAAAGTATAGGCTGGTGGTCAGACTGAGGATGGGGTTGGGAGGGTGGAGTCAGAGGAGATTCTAGCCAGCCTCCAGGGGAGCAAGACGTGCTAGACATGCTAGAGGACAGGTAAAGCCACAAGCCACATGGCAAAAGATAGATTAATAGAAATGGGTTAATTTAAATGTAAGAGTTAGTTAGTAATAAGCCTGAGCTATCACCCGAGCATTTATAAATAATACTAAGTCTCTGTGAGGTAATTTGGAAGCAGCTGCTGGATGGGGAACAGGTGGTCAGGATGGAAAACTCTGCCTACAATGGGTGTTATGGACGTTGAGCCAGTGACCTCTGAAATGCTCCACCCACAAGAGCTGGTGTGTCCTCACTCATTTTTTATTCTCCAGCTCTCTCCTGTTTAGAGAAAGGCCTCCAGAGAGGATTAAAGAATGGCAGCTCAAAGTAGCTTGTGATTTCCTGGCACACTTTTACCTTTGTCAGGACACACGGCTTGTTTTCCTTCTGGTGAAAATTCTGACCCATTAGGTAACCGAATTCCTGTAGTTTACTCTTTGAGAAACTGGAGGCTCCAAACTCCAGCCCACGCTCACTTTTCCCACATTCTCAACTTCCCATTATTAATTTGTCAGGTGTTCTTTTCTTTTTTTTTTAGTATTTATTTTTATTCTATGTTTTATTTTATTCTATTATTTATTTTATGTGTATGAGTGTTGAAGCATTTATCTAATTATTCTTTATCAATAAAAATTTGGGAGTAACATCGGGTAAGATCCTGAATGATCAGAGAAGCATTGAAGAAGCAACCAGTGACCTCCTCTCTTTCTCACCTTCGACCCCAAAGGTCAAACTCTTTCCAAGTCCCGCCCTACTACTTCCGGTGTCTCTCTAGCTGTCCTCAGTCCTCCAAAACCTTTATGGCTAATTTTGGTCACTAGTAGCCAGTTCCACCCTCTGATTCAAAGCAAATTTTATTGTTCATTTCAAGAGCGTCAGATGCAACCAAAATAGTCCACAACAGAGTGTTCTGCCTGAATGTATATATGTGTAATGTGTTCATACCTAGTGTCCTCAAAGGATAGAAGTAGACTCTGATCCCTGGAAACTTCAGTTACAGATGGTTGTGAGCCACCATGTGGGTGCTGGAAACTGAACCCAGGTCCTCTGCAAAAGCAGCAGGTGTTCTTAGCCGCTGAACCATCTCTCTAGTTCTGGATCCTCCTCCTCCTCCCTTTCTCCCCTCCCCCTCCCCCTCCCCTCCCCTCCCCTCCCCCCCCTCCCCCTTCTTCTTCTTCTTCTTCTTCTTCTTCTTCTTCTTCTTCTTCTTCTTCTTCTTCTTCTTCTTCTTCTTCTTCTTCTTCTTCTTCTTCTTCTTTTCTGTTTTTCAAGACAAGGTTTCTCTGTATAGCCCTGGCTGTCCTGGAACTCACTCTGTAGACCAGGCTGGCCTCAAATGCAGAGATCCTCCTGCCTCTGCCTCTCCAGTACTGGGATTAAAGGTGTGCACTGCCACCACCACCTGGCTCTGGATCTTCTTTTTATGTTGTGGTTTTGCTTTATAAAACAGTTTTATGTAGGCCAGGTGTGGTGGGTGGAAAGTAATGAAGAACTAGAAGAACATCACCATGATTTAAAAATATACTTAAAAACAACAACAACTCAGGCTGGTCTAAGTTTACTATGTAACCACAGATGACTTCAAATCTATGATCCTCCTGCCTCCACTTCTCAAATGCTGGCACACTCAGAGCTACTTTCATACAAGGTAAGCAAATGTTCTACCAGACAATCTACATCCTAGGTCTTCCTAAAGCCGAATTCCATTACAGTCCTAGGAAATTACAGCAAGTCTTTCTCTGTCCCACCTGCCAGCTCCCAAATCACGACAAAGAGACTTATTATTAATTGTGAAAGCTCAGGCTTGTTTGTAGCTAGCTCTTAGATTAACCCATTTTTATTAATCTATGTGCTGTCACATGGCTTGTGGCTGTTACCTCCCCTCCTGCATGTCTTGCTTGTTCTCTGCCTTTCAGCATCTCCATCTTCTTCCCAGCATTCTCTCTGCTCCCAAAATCCTGCCTAAGCTATTGGCCATTTAGCTTTTTATTAAACCAGTCACAGTGACGCATCTTCACACAGTGTAAAGGAATATTCCACAACAGGAAATGCCATGTTGACAGAGAGTGAGAATAAGCATATCAAGCTTCCTGACTACAGACGGGATTTACCAGCTACCTTCACCCTCTTGCTGCCACAGCCACTAGTCACTCGAGCAGTCATGCCATCCCATCATGCCACCACCCCAGCCTAGTTCATGGGTTCTATACAGAGTGATGTTGTTTATACCAGCATTGGTGAGTTAACTTCTTTTTCTAGTTATCATAATCACCTTTATGGCTGTCTTAGTCAGTGTTCTATTACTGTGAAGAGACACCATGACCACGGCAGCTCTTATAAAGGAAAGCATTTAATTGGGGCTGGCTTACAGTTTCAGAGGTTCAGTCCATTGTCATCATGGTGGGGACCATGGAGGCAAGCAGGCAGACATAGTAGCTGAGAGTTCTACATCCAGATCTGCAGGCAGCAGGAAGGAAGAGAGACACTGGGCCTGGCTTGAGCTTTTGAAACCTCAAAGCCCACCCCCCAGTGACACATTGCCTTTAAGGCCACACCTACTCCAACAAGGCCGCACCTCCCAATCCATCTCAGTAGTGCCACTCCCTGGTGACTAAGCATTCAAATCTATGAGCCTATGGGGCCATTCTTATTCAAACCATCACATTGTCCAAGAGCACATGCCTTTAATCCCAGCACCCAGGAGTCAGAGGCAAGTGGATCTCTATGAGTTTGAGGCCAGCATGGTCTACATAGTGAGTTCCAACCAGGGATATACAGAGAGACCCTGCCCCACACACAAAAAGAAAGAAAGAAAGAAAGAAAGAAAGAAAGGAAGGAAGGAAGGAAGGAAGGAAGGAAGGAAGGAAGAAAGAAAGAGAGAGAGAGAGAAAGGAAGAAAAGAAAAGAAAATTCTAGGACACATTAAGAAAATAACTTTTTTTTGAGGATGAAACTCTTGGGCCTGGAGTGATGGCTCAGCAAGTAAGTGTGAAGGCAATACAGACTCCATCCTAGGGAAGGGCCACCATCTCAGACCACCTGCTGTACTCAGTTCCAGGAAGGACCTCAGGAATGTGCATGACAACTTGAACAGATACAGGGCAGTGTGCTTCTGTAGATGTTCTATCTGTGGTTTATGGCCCTTGAAGATATCTAGATAATCCTGCTGAGCAGCCCAGATAATCCTTCTCAGCAAGTTGTGGTCCCCCACTAAAAAGTCCAACCCAATAGTTCAAATGTGATTTCACTCCGAAAGTCTAGACCAATAGTTTAAAAAAAATCACCTTGCCCCATATCCCTTCTACCCAATCCCAAGTTGCCAAAGCATGTAACTTCTGGCTTTCAGTTTTTCCCTGTAAAAACTCTTTACCCCAAGCAGAGGCAGCCACCCTCCTGGTTTTTTCCCTCCCACTAAATTTCTCATGTGAAGTTTGTTGTACAGTGTGACTTTGTGGTTTCCTTGGCTCCCAACTGCGAGGATACCTTTCCATCCGAGCTGTAACACTTGCAATATATATATAATGTAAAATAAAAAATTGCCTCTGAGTCAAGCACATTTTGTACAAAAATGTTTTGTGTATCCTCCATTCAAATGTCCTTGTATGAATGTATGCTTAGAGGTATATTCCTATTGCTACTTCTTCAGGTTATTATAATAAATACATGAAAGTCATTATGATGATTTGGGCAAACATTTCATCTGAACCCATAACTGCTTTTTCCTGTGGAATCTCTCACAGCCCTTACCTTGTATTTAATTATATAAGGGAGCAAAGGGATGGGGATGAGCAAAGCGTAAGGCCGGAAGTTTGAGTTAAAACCGTGGTGATATTTTGTTTGTGCTTTAACAAATAAATCTTGACTTGAGTGTGGAGCTAGCCACTAGCAGTCATGGCACACACCTTTAATCCCAGCGCTTGGGAGGAGAAAACAGGAAGTGATATGGCTGGGTAGAGAGAGGAAGTAATAAGTCAGGGTTGAGACAGGAGCTTGGCCCGTTCAGGCTGAGGAATCAGTAGAGGTGAGAAGTCTCTCTAGTGGCTGGCTCCTTTGCTGATCTTTCAACATTTACCCTGATATCCAGCTCTGGGTTATTATTATTATTATTATTTATTATAATTTTATAATCCAATTAGGATTCGTGCTACACCCTGCTGCTTGAATTGGCTTGAATAGCCAATATACATACATATATATAATATATCAGTATGTACACTAGACCCAGCCCAAAATGTTTAACTGTGCAGGACTACACAGTTACGTGCAGGAAAACAAAAACAAGACTCCAACAACTTCCTGGAACACTGTTTAATGATGATGATTATGATGAGGATGATGATGACACTGAGTTAGCTCAGTGATAGTACTTGTTGAGTATGTGCAAGGTTATGGTGTTCATTTTCAGTATACCAGACAAATAATCCTCTTCCTCTCTGTTTCCCAAATGAGTAATTTCAGGGGTTAGACAAGGCATTCTCAAAACATCAATTTTCTGCCCTCTTCCAGGCCCGTCTCCAAAATATAGTTTCATAAATTTCATTTTGTTTTTCAGGACATGGAAACATCTGGAATTCTTCTAAAATGTAACTAATGCACTAATCCATCTTTGGGCCTGCCTCCCACAGTGAGTGGTCCTGTGGATACACCCCACTCCTGCCCTGTAATAGTCTCCTTCCTCTTTCATCCGAGTCCATTTTATACACAGCCACTTCACGCTGTTAGCACTTCCACTACACGTTGGTAAGATGTAGAAATACAACTCATGAAAATAACAATATACCAATATTTTAGAGAGATTTTGTTTTGTTTTGTTTTAATTTGAGACAGGGTCTCCCTGTATGACCCTGGCTGGCCTGGAATGCACACTGTAGACCAGGCTGGCCCTAAGCTTGTTGCTGTACACTGCTTCGGCCGTGCTGAGATTACAGGCATGAACCATCGTGTTAAAGTGCCCTGCTAAAGATGGAAATATGCGTACTTAGAGTCACATGCCACATATTCTGAATTTTCTGAACAGGTTTAAGTTAGAAAACAAGGTAAGGTGGGAGATGGGCCTCGTTCATCCCCGGCAGTCATAAAATAGGGAGTTGTAAGGCTTTTAGGGTAGGTGTGGTTTGAGCGGAGATCTGTTTCAGTGTGGGAGTCTCCACAGCACCCCCACACCTGTAATGGGGTTCAGTGAAGTACTACTCAGGCAGGGTGTGTTTGTTTCAGGTCCCGTTATGTGTGGCATGTAAGAAGCCACATCAGACAATGGTTGAGCATGAGGACAGAAGATCCGGGTAAAGTGCTGGTGCCAGGACTTGGTAGGTGCGATGGCTATTTTTGGCTGTCAACTTGACTATATTTGGAATTAATTAAAACCCAAGTTACTGGCTACATCTGTGAGGGATTTTTCTTAAATCATTTGAAGTGAGAAGATCGACCTCTAATCTGGGTCACACTTTCTGGGGCAGCCTGTATAAAGGACAGGGAAGAAGGAAGATTTTGTTCTTTGCCTGCTTGCCCTCACTCTGTGGCAACCTCAGTCCTTCACTGGCATTAGAGCCTGCTTCTTCCTGATTCCAGCGTATATTGAAGACCAGCTGAGACATCTAGCCTCGTTGACTGAACAACTATTAGATTCTTGGGCTTTCCATTCACAGCCAACCATTGTTGGACTAGCTGGACCACAGCCTGTAAGAATGCACTATATGCATTCTATCAGTTCGGTTCTTCTTGAGAGCTCTTACTAATACAAATTTTGGTTCTAGAGCAACAGAAGTGTAAAGATGACTTTTTCCCCAAGCCAAGGTTTCTCTCTGTAACATTTCTGGCTGTCCTAGAATTCCTTTTGTAGACAAGGCTGGCCTCAAACTCACAGAGATCCCTCTGCCTCTGTCTCTCAAGTGCTGGGATTAAAGGCATGCACCATCATGCCCAGCTAAGGATGAATTTTTTAATTATATGAAATAGGCTTTCCAATTTGGCAACACCTACAGCTACTGAAGCCTCACCTAGAAGTTCAGAAAGAACTGAAACCATGGTGTGAACTATTTTACAAACTTGAGTAGATATAAATGCATTTGATTATCCTGATTCACCAATTGTGACAGGCAATGAATGTGATGACTCTGTATATAAAACTTTTGACAATTTGTGGAAAAATAAGGAAAATGATGTTGCTGGACAGTTGCTCTTAGCATCCCTGGATAAACTGACAAAGGAAAAGAATGAGCCCTGTCTTGGGATACTCTTTCTGTACACTGTGTGAAGATGTGTCTCTGTCCTCCCTCACCTGCCTAAGGTAACTTCTGATTGGTTTAATAAAGAGCTGAATGGCCAATAGCTGGGCAGCAAAGATAGACAGGACTTCCCAGGAGAGGTAGGAACCCTGGGAAAGAATCTGAGGTGGGAGAGATTTTCCATCAGACCGGGAGGAAGTCAGATGTACTGAGGAGAGGTAGCAAGCCACGTGACAGAATGTAGATTAATATAAACAGGGTAATTTAAGTTTTTAAAATTTTATTTTTATTTTTATTTTTATGCACATCGGTGTTTTGGCGTTTTACCTCATGTATGTCTGTGTGAGGGTGTCAGATCTTGGAGTTACAGATAGTTTTAAGAGCTAGCTGGGAAAAAGCCTAAGCTAAGGGCAAGCTTTCATAATTAATAAAAAGTCTCTGTGTCATTATTTGGGAGCTGTTGGTCCAAAGAAAGACAGACCCTTTACAGCTCCATGATAAAAATAACCAACTTCTAGCATCTCAGAATATGGAGAAGGACAACAAAGAACTCAGTGATGAAAGTGACAATAATAGACTGCCTCCAGATGCTCATAAACAGTCCACAGATTTCTAAGTGTGCCCTGAAAGAGAATCTTCCCTCCAGCGGCCACAGAGCCCAAGTTGTAGAAAATCAAGCTGAAGTCAGGTTGGCTGAATTACAGCAAAAATTCAGGTCCCAGCCTCAGAGGGTGTCAGCAGTTAAAGGAAGCATTAATTGGTAAGGAATGGGATTGGGCGGTGGTGACCCACACCTTTAATCCCAGCTCTCAGGAGGCAGAGGCAGGTGGATGTCTGTGAGTTTGAGGTCAGCCTGGTCTATAGTGCGAGTTCCAGGACAGCAGAGCTGTGACACAGAGAAACCCTGTCCCTAAAACAAAACAACAACAGAAGGATGAGATCCTGTAACTGGGATGGGGACGTGTGGGAGGACCCCCACTGAAGCTGGGAACTTTGAAGCCTCAGATTCTCAGTGGTTTATCTCACCCGAGGAAGCAGTCTCTCCACCCTCAGCAGAAGCTGTACTCACTCCCCCACGCCCTGGATATCACCTTTTCTACCTTTGACTGAGGAAATTAATCCTTCGTTGTCTGCTAAACCAGCAGTGCCTTTCCCTAACCAGATGCCAGGTAAGACAGTACTGATGTCCCCCAGGGCCTACCAATAGTTATCCCTAGTCCCATAACCAGACAAGGATAAGCAGACTGCTAGACGGGAGATAGAGAGTATAGGGCACTAAAGATATTAAAGAGTTTGCTAATTCACTGAAGCAGAACGTCTTCAGAGTATGTGTGGGAATGAATTTTAAGGGTGTGCGATAATGGTTGAAGGAACATGAAACTGGATCAGGCTGAGTTTACTGATCTGGGTCCTCTGAGTGGAGATTCTAAGTTTAATATGGAAGTTCACACTTGTTGCATGAATCCTAAATGGTCTTATAATAAAAACCCAGAGCCAGATATTGGGGTAAATGCTGAAAGATCAGAAGAAACAAGCCACAGCCACTTCTTACCTCGCCAACTCCTAGCTGATCCTGTCTCCACAAATTCTCAGACTGAATGCCTCTGAGTCTTCAGCCAAAAGGCTCTTGAGTTCCTGTCTCCTCATGCCTTATATGCCTTTCTCCGCCCAGACATTTCACTTCCTGTTTCAACCTTCATAGTGTTTCATTAATGGCCTGTGTGCTTCCAAAATACTGGGGTTAAAGGTGTGTGCCACCACTGCCTGGCTCTGTTTCTCTCCTAGACTGAATCAATCTCATGTAGTCCAGGGTGGCTTTGAACTCCAGACAGATCTCTGCCTTCTGAGTGCTAGGATTAAAGACGTGTGCCATCACTGTCTGGCATCTATGTTTAACTCTGGCTGGCTCTGTCCTCTGATCTTCAGGCAAGCTTTATTTCTTAGATGACAAATATATCACCACACACACTGAGCTCTAGGGTATCTGGTGCCTCTTCTGCCCTCTGCAAGCACCTACACCCATGTGCACATACACACATATACTTAAATAAAAATAAGTAAAATCAAAAAATGAAATTCAGTAACTTTTTACCATGATGCCACAGTAACCAAGTGCTATAATTTGGATCAAGACTGTCTCTGAAGGGCCAAACATTAAAGGCCTGATCCACAGCTTGGCACTGTTGGGAAGTGGTGGAAATAGTAAGATATGAGACCTACTATGGGTTTTAGATCATGCCATTCAGGGGTATTGTGCCGCCTAGACCCTCCTCATCCCTTTGCTTCTGTGCCAGCAGATGAACAGCTTTACTTTACCACATGTGCCTGCCATGGTGTGTTTTACCACAGGCATAAAAGCAACATGGCTTATCAATCATGAATTGAAACCTTCAAAACAGAGAGCCAAATATATAATAAACATTTTTCTCTCCTTAAAGCTGACTGCTGTTTGTTACAATATCAGAAGGCTGATGACATCAAGGCACCAAGCTGTCACAGAGAAGAGAGAGATCGGAGGACTGTACCAGAGACTCCAGAAATAGATTCATGTAATGATAATGATACAAAGGCAATTCAGTGGAGGAAGAAGTCTTTTCAACATGCATGTTTTTGGGATAATTTAACCTCTGTGAAAGAAAAAAACCTGACACATAAATTCACACCTTACCAAAAAGCTAACTCAAGACTATACACTTAAGAGCAAAATGTAAAACTCGCCGGGCGGTGGTGGCGCACGCCTTTAATCCCAGCACTCGGGAGGCAGAGGCAGGCGGATCTCTGTGAGTTCGAGGCCAGCCTGGTCTACAGCGCGAGATCCAGGAAAGGCGCAAAGCTACACAGAGAAACCCTGTCTCGAAAAACCAAAAAAAAAAAAAAAAAAAAATGTAAAACTCTCTAACTTCTTGCAGAAAACTGGGAAAAATTTTATGTGGATTTGCCTTTAAAATGGTTGTTTAGTGGAATGTCCCTCAGTTTGAGTTTATGTTTTTTCAAGGTCAGAATGAACTCACAGACTCTTGAGGGAGAATCTTGAGCCTTCACTACATGCTACATCAGGATAGATATCAATGTCTTATTATTGCTGATGTTAATTTTCCTCGATTGTTTGAATTAAGTAATGTCTGCCAGATTTCTCCACTGTAAAGTTAGTCTTTTTCACTTCTTAATAAAAATGTCTGAGGACAGTCTTCAAGACTGTGATACAAGCTCCAGAATGTTTCCTGGAATGACAAAGGATTCTGCAAAACTCAAGAATAGAAGAGGGGCCATTACTACCAACCTTACAAAATAAAAATAACTAGAAATGAATATTATAAAGAACTCTTCACACATGGGTTAGATGACTATTATATGAAATAAATTTGAGAAATATATGAATTAATAAAACTGAAGAAGACATGTAGCATCTGAAAAGGTACATAAACAATAAAGAGATGGACTTTAATTTAAACCCTTATCACTAAAATAACTTCAAATTTTAAATTCAAATTTAGATTCACTCTGGTAATGTTTGGTAAATTTTATTTTATTTTATTTTTATTTATTTATTTTTTTTTTTTGGTTTTTCGAGACAGGGTTTCTCTGTGTAGCTTTGCGCCTTTCCTGGAACTCACTTGGTAGACCAGGCTGGCCTCGAACTCACAGAGATCCGCCTGGCTCTGCCTCCCAAGTGCTGGGATTAAAGGCGTGCGCCACCACCACCCGGCTGGTAAATTTTAATCAAACATTTAAAGAAGTAATATCAACACTTCATACTTTTTTTCTAGAAAATCAGGACTAGAACACTTCTAGACTCATCTATGGGTCCATTATTACACAATAGCAAAGGCCAGATAATTATATTAGAGGAATAGCATACACCAGCATCCCTCATGCGTATAGACAGGAAGTACTCAACAATACTGAGGAACACCAAAAAAGGATTCTATTTCTTGACCAATTTGATTTATTCCCGCAATACATGGTTAGCTTTACAACCTAGAATTAAATTAGTATACTATATTAATAAGAAAAATAGAATAAAACCATCCAGGCACACACCTGTAGTCACAGTACCCAGTAAGCTGAGGCAGAAGGATCATGAGTTTGAGGCCAACTTGGGTTATAAAGTGAACCTGTAATTTTAAAAATGACTGGGGAGCTGGAGTGATGGCTCAGCAGTTAAGAGCACTTGCTGCTCTTGCAGGGGACCAAGGTTCAGTTCTTAGCACCCATATAGCAACTCACAACAATCCATAATGTCAGTTCCAGGGTATTGGATGCCCTCTTATGATTCCTCAAACAGCAGGTATGCACATGGTACATACACATACACACACACATGATATAAAAATGATTTTAAATGACTGAAACAATATGATCATCTTGGTAGGTACTAAAGAAGTATTTGGTGTAAGATAACATTTATTCACAGGGGGGAAATTGTTGTGGAATAATCTTTTTGTGTACTGTGACGATGTGTCACTGTGATTGGTTTAATAAAAGCTAAATGGTCAATAGCTAGGCAGGATTTCCAGGCACAGAGGACTCTGTAAAGAAGAAGGGAGATACGTAGGAAGTATGACATGTAGGAGACAAGATAACAAGCCATGGGCCACGTGGCAGCATGTGAATTAATAGACATGGGTTAATTTAAGTTATAAGAACTAGTTAGGAACAAGCCTAAGCTATTGGCTAAACTTTTATAATTAATAATAAGTCTATGTATCATGATTTGGGAGCTGGATGATGGGACAGAGAAAGCCATGCTACAGTGGTGTTCAATGTGGGGACATGTACTTCCACATAAGATCTGAGAAAGCTTTAAAAAACAAAAAGGTTACAAGCACACAAAAATGGTGCCAAACATGGCTTCCTAGTCCCACAGCCTCTCATGCAGGCTGCAGTACAGAGATGCTTTCCTGTAACTGCCTGCAGGCAGCAGGCAAGGAGCTAAGCTGATGGTGTAGTCAAAAGTTTTCTCTGGTTCTGCCTGGCCCACGGTTCCATAGCCATTTATAAAATAATCACTCAGAGGCTTAATATTATTTACAAACTGTATGGCCTATGGCAGGCCTCTTGCTAGCTAGCTCTTATATCTTAAATTAACCCATTTCTACAACATCTGTTGTGCCACATGTTCTGTGGCTTTACTGGTCTGCTGGCATGTTGCTCCTCGGGCAGCAGGTTGGTGTCTCTCTAGACTCTGCCTTTCTCTTTCCTGTCTCTCTTTGGATTTCCCAGCTGCCTCTAAGCTGTCTTGCCATAGGCCAAAGCAGCTTATTTATTAACCAATGGGAACAACATATATTCCCAGTATACAGAAATACATTCCACAGCAGATGGTGGTTTAAGATTTTGCTCATGCAGGCAGAAAAGGTTACAGATATGCAGTAAAGTAGGTTCAGATGGAAAAAAGCTCCAAACAGGTTACAGTGTTTTAACAATGTATGTAGGCTTAGGAAAAATAAGAAGAGTATAGACAGCCATAAAAATAAATAAATAATTTGGAAATAATAGCATAAAGTCTTTAAAAAAGAGTAAAGTAATTTAAAAAAAGAATAAACCACATAGACACGTGAAATACACAGGCAGTCTGAATCCTGTATGTTATTGTGTTGTTTTTGAATTTTTTTTTTGGTTGCTGATAAGCAAACAACAGCTGTTGGGAGACATGGGGTTGTAAAAGGGACTGTTGAAATAAACCAGCATAGAAACTTTAAGAATGCCTTAACTTTAAAATGGAACTAAAAAATAATGTATTGCTTTGGAGAAGAGGTTATGCATTTGTTTCCACAGGAAATGAAAGGCTGTGGATTTGTTCAAGGTTGGTAGAGATCAGATTTGATAGGGGAAAACCTCTGACAATCCTCATTACTGATATAAAAAAACCCTAAAATAACTACAAGTTAGGTGACATATATTTTACCTGTTTAAGCATAAAACAAACAAACAATATATCAGGCTTGTTTGCTCCAGGGCTGTAAGAAATTAGCCTGCAGAATCTCCTTGAAGGGCTGTGAGAAAGTCCTGATTAGCCCACAGGAAGGAACACACTCTAGCTAGACACAGACTGCTTATGCTAGTCAGAGGTACATTGAGACAGAAAATGAAACTGCCTGCTCCTTGATACAAGGCAGGATAGATAGTGGTTGAATGCATGCACCATGCATTGTTCTACCTCTGTCCTTCAAAAGTGTATATAAGCTGGCTGTGAAATAAACTCAGGGCTCTCCAGCATTGACCGGCAGACCTCTTGACTCTTTTCTGTCTTTTTCATTGTCTCTTCAGTCTGCACGCCTCTACCCAGCTACCGAGCTGACTGTCGGCAGGCTCCGACAGGCAACCAGACACCAAAGGGGTGTCTCAGGTGATCCAGTCTCTCAGAGTACCTCTGTTGCAGTTTCCTCTTGAGTTCTGCATCCAGAACAGCTTCAAGGCTGCTGGCTGAGATGATCCAGCCACACAGATTATTCTAGCCAGGACTTGACCATTATCCTAATTTTCTAAGGATCCCTCAAAGATGCCAGCACCCTCAGATAACAAGAAGCAGTTTAGAGAACACAACACCTACATTCCCAAGAGATGGAATGGGTGGTTTTTGGTCATTTGGTGAGTTATGGATGTTTGTTATCATTTAAGGGAATTGGTTACAAATTGTTATTGGAAATGGTCAGAAAAAAACTGAACAAAGGAGATTAGATTCAGGTATCTCTATCTAAAGAGAAAAGAGATGAATATAGTATAAAATGATGAGATAAAAGTATGGATTGTTGAGTCTATTTTGAACAAATATTTTACATTGGTATGGACTTTTGTATATTGATACAAATTTAAGGTTATTTTTGTTAGAACACGCTGTACATACATTTCTACTCTTGTTTAAGGTATTGCACCTATGTAGCTCAATTAACAATATAATATAAATTTCTAGTCCTTGAAAGTTATTTCTACAAACTATTTAGGATAATAAAGAAATGCAGGTTAGTGGTTAGTCACCTATAACAATCAAACATGTAGTCATGTTAGGTATGTTTTCAAGGTCAAACAGGGATATATCTTCAAAGACCTACAGAATATGGCATTTAAAATGTTTGTTAACATAGGAATTTTCATGAAAATGAGACATGTCTACTCATGGGAGCACCAATTGACTTCAGAGAAGATGATGGGCATCAAAGAAACTCCATATGGAGTTTGCTTTCAATGTGGCAAAATTAGCCATTTGGGCAAGAAACTGTACTTGTCTTGACTTCTGATATTATGCTGTACAAACTGGACAAAGGAAAAAGACTGTTGAACTTTGCCAAGATAAGGCAGGACAGTCCTTCAAAATTCCTGCTTCTTAGAAGAGTCTGCCAGACATTCTACAGGACACACAGGAAAATGACTGCTGAACTTTGCCAAAACAAGACAGGACAGTCCTTCAAAATTCCTGCTTCACAGAAAACTCTGTCAGATATTCTAGGCCTGTAGGCCAGAGATTGGATGCCCCAATGTTGCAGAGGAAACTTGGGGTGACTGTCCAAGCTGCCAGATGTCTCTGTAGTTTCTTAGTTTGGGAAGTGGCTTGCACTGCACTTTCTGCTTACTCAGGTAATAGTATATACTTCTGGTGTCTTTGATGAAATTGAAGACTAGATATTATAGTTTTCCCTAGTTATGATAGATGATAAATTAAGTACAAAACTTTGGACTCATCAAGAGAGGATAAATAATGGAGTATTTTCTCTAAATTTGCCAAATACAAATGGACTAGATATTGTAAATTTAATTCTTACTTGATAATTGTTCTTATTGTATATAATTTTACTTTGTTAAAGTTAAAACCTTTCCTTTTTATTTAGAGAAAAAGGGGAAAATGTTGTGAAATAATCTTTTCGTAC